TGGTTGCATCTCTTTCATGAGTATGAAAGTCAGCGATCTCCTGGGGAGTTGCAGTGGACTCGTCAATTTCCTTAAGCTCCTTGTCAAGGACATATTCTTTGTCCTCGTAGCGGGTAATCATCCTGATGTTTCTGATCCACTTATTGAAGTTGGATCCATCAAAGGTGACTTTCCCACACAGACTCATAAGAGTAAAGGAGCCATTAGGATTCGAGCCAGAAGCATTAGTTGAAGACATCTGAAAAGAAGAACAAGTTTAGTTTAGATTTAAGAGAGTCCTTAATAAAACACCCAAATGTAATATTAAGGCTAGGATCCAATCACAATATAATATAACTTAGAAGAGGTATGCCGTAATCTAAGCTATACCATATTTGAAAGGTAGGTGAATGACGATTCACCAATTTCCACCACGAAAACCGAAATAAAAAATATTTAGTTTTTATTGGTTTTAGAAATTCCTAGATTCTTTGAGATCCAATGAACTTTTCAAAGGCATGTTTCGATCTCGGGAGTGCCCTCCAGGTTTTGTGACTGGGATGCCGAGGATCACAAAACGAGGTGTGAAGTAACCATGCAAATCACTTGGTACCTTAAAGTTTATCACTCAATCGATGTGCCGGTAAACCACACACGCTCCACCGATACTATAATAAACCTTTAAGTCACCCTTTACCTACCTTGTTAAGTCCAAGTTAGTGTGCCGGTTAACCACACACGCTCCACCAACGACTCAGACAAAGTGTAAAGTGTAATTTCATGGATTAGCACCTTATTCACATTTTTCCTAAAGTAACTAAGATTGGGAATTTAATAAACATTTAGTTACTTTATATATTCATCATACTTTGAATGAGAATTTATAAGTCCTTGTCTTACCCGTTCGGCTAACGACCCTCCACCAGTCAAGCAAGCGGTGGGTGAGAATATACACCCATTAAGTCACCATTTTATAGGCAACAACCTTATACCCACCTTATAGACCGGCTTCGTGAATGAGGCGTACTAGCGGTAAGACGACTTGTTCTTATACATATATATATAATTATTAAATTATCATAATATAAGTATAAGGGTTGAATTTTAACTTTTAAAATTCTAGGGGTTGGAACTAAAGTTTTAACTTAACTTTACTTGTTCCAAAACTTGAGGGCAAGTTTTGTAACTTTCAAAACTTTTCATTTCTTGTAACTTATGAGTTTAATAGAGTCATAAAATGAAGACTCTTCATTTTTATAACTCTTGTGTTTTCTTAATGGTTTTAACTCAAGTGTGACTCTTGGTTTTCCATAACTTAAGGATAAGTTATGGACTCCATTAAAACACATTATGATCAAGAATTAAACTACCAAATAGGTTACAAATAATTCCTATGATCATCTAAAACATCATAAGAACAAGAACATGAATATGAACATAATCAAAAATTACATAAAACTTTGTAATTTTGATAACTAGTTGTTGTAAATGAATTAGCAAAACATTACACCACCAAAAACAAGTTTATATTTACTAAAACAGTTTAGGGTAATGTTTCTAATTCATTTTCCAGCAACTGAATCGAAATTCTGCACTCATTCGACCCTACTCGCCGAGTGCATGAACATGACTCGCCGAGTTGGTTGAAGATACACATGGACTCGGCGAGTCCCCCCTATGGACTCGGCGAGTCCGATCGCAGACAGCAAATTTTCGATTCTGTTTTCAACTTTTAAGAACAAATAAGAACAAACAAGCCTAGGCTCTGATACCACTGATGGGTTTTGAACATTCTAACACTTCCTAAGTGTACATGCAACCCTAATAACCTTGGATCTATGTTTGTCTAATTTGTCATGCAAAGTTGAATTCCAAGGTTATATCCTATCTAGCATACATGGGGAACAATTTTAACATAAAGTATAGATAGAATAACTTACCTTGTTGTTGCTTGTGTTCCTTGAAACCTTGTGAGCCTAGCACCTCAAGTGGTGATGCCTCAAATGCTTCACACAACACCAAATACTCTTGGAAGAACTTATGAGAGAATACTCACTTCTCCAAATCGGCCAAGCCCTCTATTTCTTTTTTTGTAACCGATTTGGGAGGAGATCATATTCCTTATATAGTGTTGACACATCTAGGGTTAAACCCTAATGTGTCATGACTCTTCATTTCCATGACCCATGGGTTTGTAACTCCCATGGAGCATCCATGGAGCATCCTATGGGTGGAACCCAACTTGATGATCCATGGAGCCTTTTAGCCCACTATACAAGATATGGATGATTTACTTAATCAACCCATATATTTAATTAGTTATCTTTTGATCACTTAATTAATTCTAAATTAATTCTTGATCAAACTAATCAAATAATATTATTAATATATTAGAACTTATAATATATTAATAATCTCCAAGCGTTATTTCTCTCATTTAGTTTATCCAATTGCATGGTGCCATGCAACCCAAATGGACCATGCCGGGTCGGGTCAAGTACATACCAGAAATAGTTATGGACTTAGACACCTTATCCAACACAAATATTATGACACTTGCAATCGATCCTTTACCCAAAGTGTATAGGACACGATGCATAATGTCTTACACAAAGATATGATACTTTATCAATCTTTTGCCATACTATTTTATGTGTCACATTCTCATAATTCAAACTATGAAGAGGAATGCCACAATCATAATCGAAATTTTGAGAACGCACTATGTACTCTTGACTAAATTTATTAACATTCCACAACCTAAGCCTTTAGATTTGAAATGAAGCATAATATTTTCTCCCTTAATTATAGCAAAACAACTATTCAACCCTTACGACTTTGCAAAGTATGACTCTTGTTTTCTATAATTAATATTGCTAACTTGCAATACTTGCCTTAATAATCATACAATCATAACATTTATGCTCCCACTATCATGTTGATTATTATAAACATAACACTTATGCTCCCACTAGCTTTGACATGTATTCAGAAACAACTTAACTTTTAGAAAAACAATACCTATTGAATTTCTTAAGTTCATGTTTCTAATATCCAATGCTTTGATAATCCTTTATCTAAGCTTATACACCTTTCCTTCAGATAGCTCATATGTGTGTCTAAACAATTCAGACTAATTGCCAAATCTCACAATTCGAATCTTGGAAAGGGATACCGTAACCATAATCGAATTCGAGAATCCAATTTTCACAATCACTATCTTCTTAAAATCTCTGTTAGTGAAAGCATTTCCTCACAATCATTTTTCATGAAAGAGGGAATCTTATGACACTTACATTTTATTTGTGTATATGTTCCTATCCATGTGAATTTGTTAAAACAAAGTTTACGACAAATTCAAACTCATATGGACCGAACTTTCTCAATCTTGATTTCTTGCCTTATGGTAACACGCTGCCCACCATGTCTTCCAAGTAGTAAAGTAGCTCACCCTTTCCTATCAATGTACTTTTCATTGATCAAGGTCCTTGCCTTTTATGCACTTCAAATGAGAACTCATAGAACTCATATGCATAATTAACTCGATTGGAACGGCGCAGAAACAAGATAATGTCAACATTATAGGTTATAAACCTCAAGTCGTGTGCTAGTGATGATCGATAAGGTTTATTCTTGATTTGTTCTTGAAATCTTTCAAGACCATTAAGACTCCCACTGACTCCTTGACATATAAGATTCTCTTGTCAATAAACATTTCTCGACAAATAAATGTTCAAGAGTTAGTGTAGCTTTTATCAAGATAAAACACTTCACAAAATTGGTCCTAGTTGGTCTTTGTCTTCTCCAAGACATCACAACTTTCCACATTTGGTGAATGTTATAAACCTTCTTAAGATTTATCACTCAATGTCACAATCTTAGCTCTAAGACTCGTTTTGGAATGAAGTATGATTGACTTCTTGATTTAACCATTTCTTCAATTCTTGATTCTTCTTCTTAGACATACAATTGTCCTAAGACTTACTTAGAGTATCAATTGAGATATGGTTCTTAATCATTAAGACTTATCATAAAACATAATAAAAGGTACTCTCCCTTCTTCTTAGAATAGAGAAACTTTTATCTTTCTGCCTACTTGATTCTTCTTATTCGTTCTGCTATTGATTTAAACTTTTACAATCAACTAAGAATTACACTTAATCTCATAAGTGTAATCCTATTTACTTAACCTTAGTGGATAATGACGAATATCTTTGTTACACAAGTGGTGGACTTGATCAACACATAACCTTGTGTACTCGATCTCCTAGTCCTTCACTTGACATTTTGTCGACGAATTAATCTAATTTCCAAATATGAAACTTCGCATTCACCATGCAATACTTGTTGTATGATTCCAAGTCTCTATCCAATTGAAACTCGGGTGATGAGAAACTTTCCCTATTTGGTAAATGCTCGTCATTAAGAATCACATCCATTTGTTGTAGAAATATGCAAGCACCAATTTTTTTTCATAACGATTTCATTGCACTACTAGAAAAAAGGCCTTTTACGACGCTCATTGCGTGTCGTAAAACGCTCAGACGACGTGCAAATGCGCGTCAAGGAAGGCCATGTCATAAAGAGAGATGATGCGCTTTTGCGCGTCGTCTATAGACGACGCGCATTTACGACGCGCGGTTATGACACACATTGCGTATCAAGGAAGGCCCTGTCATAAAGGAAGACGACACGCATTTGCGTGTCGTAACCTTACGACGCACGTGTTTATGACACGCAATGCGTATCAAGGAAGCACCAGTCAAGAAAGGCCATGTCATAAATGAAGATGACACAAATTTTTGCATATCGTAATTTTAATTTTTTTTTAAAATATATTTATATATTTATTAATTTATAAATTAAATTTGCATTTAATCTCTCATAATAGAAATAAAATACCATATACAAAAAATACAATCCATTGCATAATATAAAATAAAATACCATATACAAAAAATACAATCCATTGCATTTAATTTGTATGTATAACAAAGACACATGTGTTAAACTTGTTACCATTAACATCTAATCGTATGGACTCGAGTGTTAAACTTGTTACCATTAATATCTGATTCATAAGTCCTTTCAACAAGATTGTTACCTACATAAATGAAAACAAACAAGAACATTAACAGCCCTACTATGAACAATATTGTTACCTGCATAAGTTACTAAGAGACTTATATACTCAGCTGGTTTGTAATATGGCACTAAGAAGCCTAAGAATTGTTTGTGTTTTTCCTGCTCCCGGTGGATCCTACATAGACAAAAGGTAAGAATTAACATTTTCAAAGTAAATATAAGAAAAGGGCATTATAGTAATTACCTCCATGCAATACTCAATGGACAACTGCTGGCTTTACTTGTAATAATAATTCATCAATTTTGCCACTCTTCTTCAAGGAGAGCAAAGCCTCCTACTGATCAAAAGTATACCTTTTTGCAAAAGGAAGAATTAAAAATAATTATACCATGTAGATATATAAATCAAGGATGAAGGGGAATATGAATATCCTTAGAACTTTAATTTTACTCATTAAAGTAAAGAAACAAATAGATCATACAGTGGTTTATCCTTAGAAATTCCTTTGACATCATTCTCTGGAACTTGATCCTATAACAAACACATAATGTCATTGAGAAGTGACAAGATATGATAATAGAAAAAATAAATAGATAAAAAGATGATGCAGATGGGTCGTCCATTGTAAAAGCAACAATACCCTGGGCAACATCTTAGTTTAATTTAACACCATGGACTTAAAAATAAAAATAGGAATTAAATGTACCTTATGTGCTGCTCAACTGACTTGGGTGGCAGCATCACTTATGGCATAAACTGTATTACTAAGAAGACTAGTAGTTCCTTGTGTCATGCATGTGATGAGTCCTGCTGGACTAGTCCACAAAGAAACAGAATGTCAATAGCTGATCTCAGGTAAGTTACCAAATTTTGAACTGAAGTGTTAAATTAGGTGGAAAAATGGAAATGAAAGGTCAACAATAGTATATAAATTAGGTGGAAAATGGAAATGAATTGAAATTTTTTGTTTTTTATTTTTACTTTTTTTTGTTGTTGTCGTCGTCATCATTATCATCGATGTCCATAATGCCTAAATCATCCTCGTTTGTTTTATTGCCATTTGCAGGACTTCCTGGTTGAGCGAGTGCAGAAACTCCAAAGCACATGAAGTGTGAAAAAAAAGGAACTATGTGAAGGAAATAAATCGATTTAGAAACTTTCATCTAAAATAAACCAAAAAAAATGAAGAATTATATTAATAACCTCATCAAGAAGGAGTGGGATAAATATGGTGAGCATTTTGGCATATTATTCAGAGCAGTGGAATTGTTTACATTTTGATTTGAACCAGTTGAACCTTCGAGCAAAACAGTTGGATTTCTTGATGCTTTTGTAATTGCTCTAAGCTCATTAGCAAATTCACGTGCCTAAAAAAAGAATTTTTAACTTTTTAATATTTATTTATATTTGTACGTATGAATTATACTAATTAGTTGAACATACCTCATGCCTTAAAAGTAGATTAAGAGAGCTGCAATAAGCTTTCCTCAAAGGACCTAAACAACTTTTGTCAAGACTCTGCATATAATAAATAAACATAATTTTAACACAAGTTCATTTTTTATATAAAATATTGTTTTAAAGTTTTGTCAAGACTCTACATTTTTTATGTAAAATATTGCTACCAATTGTAATCGTGTTTTCATTGCTAGAAAAATCATGGTTGACTTCTGCACTTACAGTTGTGTTGGTCAACGACTATTGGGTTTGCGGTCAACCGACACTTGTAGTTCAATTATCTTGTTCTTGAGTCCTTAGGGTATTACCTTAATGTCTAGTGGGAACTTTTGAACGATGTCTGTGAGGGTAGCATCAAGCATGTCAAAGGGTCAACCATTAAAGAGATCTTCGAGTCTCTCTTCCCATCTGTCAAGAACAGTAATTCATAACTTCATGAAGTTTACAACAAAAAGAAAAAGTATTTGTCATAAATTAACATGATAAGACTGAGGGAATACTTTAGCTAATAACCTTGAACAAGCAAGCGGCTGAAGGCACCAGAACAAGAAACAAATCCAAATCTTTTAGAACAAGGAACAATGGGCACCAGAACAAGCAAGCGGCTGAAGGCAGTACCACCAGTTGGGGTTTTGGAGCGGAAAGCTTCACAGCGGTTCCTACCTCTGCTAACTCTCACTCTCAGGCAAACACAACACCTAATATACCACCAAATTACAATAATATCCTTCAAACTTCAAGCTATAAAATAGGAAGCAAGATTATAATGTGTTGAACCTGGCACCTAATTAATTAAATGATCACAAAAATAGTAATTACTAAATAATCCTAATCTGTACATGTTTATATAATATATAATATATAATTAATTACCTGAAAGTTAATAACAATGAAGAACAATGTACTTTCCGCTGTAATCTGGTAAAAAACGGAAAATGATTTTTACTATTTTATAAATGGTAAAAAAAATCAGTTGTGTGAAGATGCAACCTGCAAGTCTCCCAAGCATTTGAATTGTGACACATTGGCCTGAAGATTTTTGCAAATAAGATCTCCAAAATTTCCAATCAATGGATTCTCCTTAGGTTTGTTGCTATTTTTGTATATAGAGTTTTGATTGTTTTTCTTCTTTAGTTCCTCGTAATCTTGGACAAGTAAGATTTGATATTCATGATAAGTATCTGGTCCCAAAGGTGAACCAGGGTAAGTTGAGTGACCTGTCTGCAATAGCAAGAGAAAAAATTGAAATTGAAGTCCATTCAAGAATAAGAAATAAAAGCAGAAAGGATGATGATCAGGTGAAGTTATCAAAAGTTGTGAAATATCTAATATTCGGGATCATTGAAGAAAGAAACTTAAGGGTTTGCTTAGTTGGATGGAATTCTCGTGAGGAGGGCATTCACATCTTTATCAAAGATATATCAAAGCAAGCATTAATAAGTTCAAATAATTACAATAGCAAGGAAAGATATAATGACAAAATATCACCTCTGAGATAGATATGTATATAGTGCACTGGGAAACGCATTGAAGTGTGTAAATTGAATGTAACTGCAATGCCCTGAACAAAGATCTCTGAGAATGTCTTGTTGTTTGGTCCACTCCATATTTGAACTTAAATAAGCAGCAGGTATATTTGCTTGTTATTGTATCCAAACACAAGATTTGATGTTCACTATAACAGATAAATGTGAATGTCCATAGGTTAAGGAATCATCAGACCATTAGCGTATTTTGGTTCCCAAATCAGAAAAAGAATCAAATTTGTCCCAGAGAAGAAATAAGCCCTAACAGTGATGAATAGGAAAAAGTAACCATTTTAAGCAACAATTATTATACCTGGTAGAGAAGAAATAAGGAGCTTTGCTAACCCCTATCGCAGCCATTAATCTCTGTATCCTCACACAGCCACACAAGGAACATGGAGCAATCTTAGAAGTCTCACAAGTCTTGTCAATCTGGCCCCTCGCCAAGATGAAATCTGATACTGATAAGAAGAAACGAGGACTCACTGATGATAAGAAACGAGACCCTAGTACTGATAAGAAGAAACGCGACCTCACCGATGATAAGAAGCGAAACCCTAAGGTTTTTCGAATGTTTCTTGATTTTCCAGAACAAGATAAGAACAAGTGTGGTGTGGACTTACAAGTAAGGCTGTAGAGGGGTGAATAGGAGGTTGAGATCGATCCCGAGAGATGAAAGAAGTTCAGCTACCCGGGAACATGCTAAGACCAGAGAAGAACTCTTTTATGAAGTTTAGCATCACGAGCGAACCCGATAATTACCTGATGGAAAACCGAGAAGATGAAGGAAGATGAACTTCATCATCTTCATAAAGAAAGGTCAGAGATAGTTAGAGACAGAGAGGGAGGGTGGCATACAAAAACGAAAAACTTCATCATCATCTTCCACTGCCTGGCGGTGTGTGATCCGCGGTGACGACATGATTAGGGCAAGAGGGAAACAACCATCGAAATTGACCGGAAAGCACCTCCGTTCATCATCACCGGCAGATCCATCCTAGTCTCCCTTCTTTCCGTCACTTCTCACAATAGAGAAACAAGAGGGGAGAGTTGATTGTGAAGATGAAGAAAAGAAGCTAGAAAAGAAAGCGGGTTTTCAAAATTTTAGGGTTTCGTTTTCCCCCCTGTTATCTTCTCAAGGCGCGTTTCACTAAAATTATAAAGCGACACCTACAGAAGACGCACGTTTAAGATAAAGCACCTTCCGTGTTTTTTATTTTTTTTCTTGAGACACTAATTTAAGGGCGCACAAAAATACGTGTCCACTATCCTTCAAATTTTGGAAGTCTGACATTATTTTTAAGGGCGCCCAAAAATGCGTAACGTGAATCAGCGAGTGTCATTGTTTGCACGTCATTAAAGGCTATTTTTCTTGTAGTGTTGTAAGGAAATAAATAAATAAATGAGTCAAACTAAAAATTTATTTTATTCATAAAAGCAACGAAAAACATTTGTCCTTACAATGAAAAATCAACTGAAAAACTATGTAGTCAAATATTCCTAATAACTCTATCATAACTTTCTAAGCTCAAAATCTAATCTTCGAATCCATTTCTCCATGATTAGATTCATCTTGCTCTTTCATCAAGCTTCCTCTCTTTTTTATTGATCCTGCAAAACATTCAAATGCAATCTTATCACATTATGTATAAAGAATCAACGAATAGGAACTTAATTGAGTTAGATAGTTGATTTTACCTGAAGCACAACCATACTCTTTGACTCTCCCATCTTCTGGACTCTTCAGGCTCTTAGGTCAGACTTGTATCCAACGCCCTTTCTCTTGGCAGCAAACGCATGTCGGTTCTCCTAGAACGTCCTCGGAAGCATGGTTGGTTGACTTTCCCAACAAATATGCTCCATTGCTTTGCCAAATCATTTCTGATTCAGCAGCAATGAGCATGTAAGTTAGGTCAATGAGGTTTTCGTCATGATCCATCATATAATACTTTCTTTTGAACTCATTATATGATTCGGGAAGTGATTGTAGAACCGAGTTCACAACCAACTTATCCGGGAATGACTCACCCAACATTTTCAACCTATCAATGTGTGATTTCATTCCTAGAACGTGGGCACACACGGGTTTACCATCTTCATGTTTCATTTCCAATAGGGCTTTAGTGACATTAAACCTTTCAATTCTTCGATCTTGTGGGTTAGGGAGAACAACGGGAGGAAGAGGAGGAAGTGAAGCATGAATTCTTGTTCCTCGATCGAATCGTGGAATATCATCTTCATGTGGAATGCTTGTTCTATGGGATTTGGGAAGACCATAGTTGTCGTACTTTGACATCTACAAAATGGGAGAAAACAAATTCAACTTAGTTGATAGATTGAGTCCTTAATAAATCACCCAAATGAGATATTAAGGCTAGGACCCAACACAATACGCTACAACCTAGAAAAGGGATGCCGTAATCTAGTTGTAGAATATTTGAAGGTAAAGAATGACGATTCACTAATTTCCACCACTATAAACAAAAAAGAAATTTAAGTTTTAAATCTATGAAAACTCCTAGATCCTTTGAGATTCATTGAACCTTTTCAATGGCATGTTTAAATCTCGATATGCCCCTCTAGTTTGTGACTGGGATGCCGAGGATCACAAAGCGGGTGTGAATAACCATGCAAATCTACATGGTGCCCTCACATGTTAGAGTCACCTATTCGATGTACCGGTAAACCACACACACTCCACCGAACTATGACAAACATTGAGTCACCATTTGCTACCTTTGCTTAGAACCATTTAGTGTGCCGGTAAACCACACACGCTCCACTAATGTCTTCGCAAGGGCACAAAGTGTAATTTCATGGAATTGCATCAATTCACTTTTGCCTAAAGTAACTAAGAATGGGAATTTGTAAAAACATTTAGTTAACTGTGTACTTCATTATACTTATAATGGAAGGTTTTGTCCTATCCTACCCGTTCGGCTAACGACCCTCCACTAGTCAAGAGTGCGGTGGGTAAGAGTGGATACCCATTCAATCGCCATTTTATAGGCAATTTCCTTAAACACCCCTTATAGACCAGCTTCGTGAATGAGGCCTACTAACGGTAAGACTGACTTTTACTCATACATATATATAATGTTAGACTTTTAATGTTGTATATAGTATAGGGTGTATTTTACACTTTTAAAAATACTAGGTGGTCTAATTTAATAATTATACTTTTAATTTTAATTGAATCGTACACCAAAACCTTATGGATTTACTAAATCTCTTTTAATTATACACTTTAATTAATTAATAAAACCATAAGGGTGTGATTTGAACTTTTGAAAACAATACTAGGGTTTTAGAATTTAGCATTCCTAAATTAAACTTTTAATCAACTTTTAAATTCCAAAACTTGAGGGTAAGTTTGAAACATTTCAAAACATTAAGGTTTCAACTATTTAAATTTCAAAACAAAACTTTTGAGTTCAAATTTAAACTATAAAATCTAAAGGGGAAAAATTGAAACTTTTCAAACTTTCTCAAGAATATTCTAGATCACATAATTCAAATAAGGCAATTAACTATTAATTGGTGGTTATCTAATTGGATCTAGTCCAAATTCTTGCAATATAATGATCAAATAATTTCCATAATTTAACATTTATCAAATAAGGTAACAATTATCTAATTAGATGACCAAAATCTTTTATTTTGACAAGGATAATCATAAGGGATTAACAAAATTCGAATTTTATTAATTTTAAACAATTATGGCTATTATCCTAAGTTAAAATAGGTAAAAATCCCAAAAATCCGCCTAACTGACGCTCGAACTCGCCGAGTTCCTCTATGGACTCGCCGAGTTCATCAATCAGGGGGCCAAAAAATCGATTTTGCAACAAGAATGAATATACTAGACATCAATACAATAGAAACCAATCAAGGCTCTGATACCACTGATGGATTTTAGCCAGAAGAACATCCTATGTGCTCATACAAACCCTAATGCTTGGATCTAGATTTCTCTATTGTACATGCAATTCATCCAAGACTATAAACCAATATAATATATGAATTAGGGTTTAGATCATACCTTGATTGTTATATAGCAATAACAATCACAAATCCTTCTTGTATTGACTTTAGAAAGTTTAGAGTCACAAATCTCATTTCTTTAATGGCTCACAAACACCAAGAGCAAAAGGATGAAGAGGAGAAGAGAAGGATACACTCAAAACCGTGTAGAAACCCTAAGGATTCAGTTGCCCACGTTTTTGGTGCCCAAGGGGTCCTTAAATAGTGAGGCTATTAGGGTTATCTAACAAGGAAACCCTAATTTGGATGCTTAGGCCCTAAGCAACCCATGAACCCCTTACTTAAAGGCCTTTGGACGATTTATAATGGGTTTCCCCATAGAATTCGTCCACCCCCATTAATATGGAGTCCATTACCTCAATATTCAACTATTATACAATTAACAGTTCAAGTCCCTTAAGTTTAACTAATGTCTTTTAGCCACAAACTTAATACTTATTAATTCTTGACTAATATTAATTAAACAATATGATTTCTCCTTTAATATATTATTCTCATAATATATTAATAAATCATATTTAATCCCTTCTCTCCATAATTCATCCTATCAAGTTGCTTTGGTGAAGGCAACCCAAAAGGACCATGCACCATCGGGTCAAGTACATACCAAAATAGTTATGGACTTAGACACTAATTCAATAGTTTTCTGATCGTGGTTGCAATAATGTATCTGATTTTGTTTCCATGTTTCTTTTTTACATCGAACCAACAATTGACACACTTATTTCTTTTTCAGCAACAGTGGAGGGCTTCTTGATGGATACTTTCTTGATGAGAGGGGAAGAAAGGTGAAGAGATGAGGTTGTCGCAATCGATATGGCGACTTGTCAGGGGGTGTTTGCCTAGGATTAACCGCCGAAGGCGATGGTGGAGAAGGACGAACTAGTTCGGTGGAGCTCTCATGGAGATTTAGACAGTATGGTTCTTATGATTAACAAACCAAGAAAATAAGGAGGGTGAACAACAAACCTAGAAAAACGAGAGAGGGAGAGAGAGAGAGAGAGAGAGAGAGAGAGAGAGAGAGAGAGAGAGAGAGCGAGAGAAAGAGAGAGGGGGGAGAGAGACCCTTTTATATTTCATTTTTTCCTTTTTTTCAAAAAAAAAAGTAACTAAAAACCTCATAAATGGTCCTTATGTAGTGAAATGATGAAAATGCCCTTGACTGAACGGCTAAATGGTAACGGAGTTAGCCAGAATGACCAAATGTTAAAAGTTTTGAAACCACAGGGACCATCTGTGAGGTTTTTTGAACTTAGGGATTAAACTTGATAATTTTGAAAACCACAGGGACCATCAAGAGGACAATCTAACTCCCC